ACGACGAACTACCCAAGTCCTACGGCCTCCGCATTTTCCCACAGTCTAGTTTCCATCTCCGGACACAAAATTGTTGTCCACTTCTCCGCTTCAATTAGTCGTTGAGAATTCAATACCATCAATTTCTGTCGAATCCCTTTTATCAAAGGTAGCACTGGCAAATCTCGAAACACACCAACCCAATTATTAAATGACTCCGCTAAACTATTTGCCATCTCCCCATACCGCATTCCTTTGAAATATGCGTTCGCATAGTGATCTCTAGACAAATCAGATATAAATGTCTTCACTTTCGAACTCCCAACAATCACCAACTCCTCCATTGCTACCGTAAACTCTTCCTCTGTAACAGCATATGCGCACCTACTAAATAAATTGATAACACGGTCTTGGAGCGATTTCCCATAACCTGACTTCGGGTACTTCGATATCAAATTCTGTTTGAGGTGATAGTAACAGTAAGAATGAGGCCATCCAGGAAACACAAACCCCATTGCATTTAACAAACCTTGATTGCGATCCGAGAAAAAGGTCACCACTCTCCCCATCGGTAGCAAAATAGAAGCCAAATGTTGAAGAAACCAAGTCCAATTCTCCTCCGTCTCAGAATCAACAACTCCAAAAGCTAGAGGATAAAACCCTGCAAAACAAAACCAAAAGCACAAGTATAAGCAAAAAAGGGAAATTGCAGTGCAGTTTTTGAAAACAAATCTGCTCAAATTTGAAAGGAAACCAAAAGGCAAATCCATGATTCAAGTACTAAAACTAAGTTTAAAACACATTTAAGTTCATGAGCAGTTGCAACATTCCCACAGACATACAAAAATTATTAAGAAAATCGAATTATGAAACAAGAAACTGCAATGCAGTTTCTGCTAAAAAATTGCAACAAATGGAATCTGCAATACATTACAGTAACCATACCTTGATTTCCATTCTTTCCGGAAGCACAGAGAAGCTGCCCCTTGAAATCCAGCAATGCAACCGCCAAACGACACAAAAAACCGTCTAAAGCGATTAATTCCAGCTTCACATTCAAGAGTGCAGAGAGAACTAGGGTTAGTTTCCTTTACGGCGTCCGCATACCACACTAACTCGTTGAAGGACTTCGACTCATCACCGTGAACGTTCAATTTAGCTAACTCTTTGCCAAACCATGCATGGTAGTATGAAATGTCTATACCATAATAATCTTTGAACTCGTGTATAATCTCAATTGGCTTCAGCTCTGGTTTTACACGAATTCTGTCCACAATGAGGGAGGACACCACACGAGACTTCATCATCTTACTCTTTGATTCCCGTATCCGACCCACACATGTATGCACATTATTTAATGTCCGAATTACAAAACAGCCAGTAGCTTCACAACGAGAAGCATAAACACGCCAGCTACAACCCTCCAATTTCTTATTCGAACAAATAGCAACCACCGCTTCTTGTCATTGCCGGCATATAAAAAATTAAATCCTACTTCAAGAGCGTACTTGCACAATTTCAAACGGAACTCCTCTGCACCACCGTCAAACTTCTGCCCTACATGATGTATGTATGTCTCCCACTCATTCGACAACAAAGGCTTAGCACTTGCTCTCTTCGACCTGCCCAAAAATTCATTTCTGTCTTCGACAGTACTAGAACACGACGACTTGCCCTTTTCACATGCAATCAACTCCTTATTTACACAAAAATCACCACTATATTCACTGCTTCCGCATAAATCCTTCACTAAAATATCAACACTCTTCTCATTTGATACAAACAAAAATGTCCTCATCATGTCCAAATCGCTATCCGTTTCTAGAAAACAACTCGGATAACTGGGCAGCGAATACCGTAACGTAAAACAACCCAACTGCAAACCCTTAAACCTTAGACACAAAGTCTTCAAAATATCAACCATGGATGACTCTGATGAAACTGAAAACATCATGGTTTCCGACTTATATGTGCACTTGGCAATGACACACACCTCCATTAGCCTTGAAAATGCAAACAAAACAACAAACAAAAACAGAAAACAATTTAAATCAGTAAATAATGTACATGAGCAGTTGTAAAATTCCAATAGACTTCCAAATATTAGTCTGAAATCGAATTATGAAACAAGAAACTGCAATGCAGTTTCTACCAAAACTACAACAAACAGATGTAGTTTATGACAGAAAATCAAAACAATTCGAATAGAAACCAAAAGGAAACCACGATAAAAGTACTAAAACTAAATTCCATAAACATACAAGTCGATATAAACGAAAACAGGTTCTAAAGTACTCATACCTCAAAACTTAGGACTGCCAAAAATCTCCACAACCAAACAGCAGCTTAAAATCAAATCTGATCACGAAACGAAGAATATAGGGTTTAGCATTGAACGCCACAAGATCGCGCCGCAAAATCGAGCCACAAAACTGAGCTCGAAATACCCGAACTAAGGAGAACAGAAATCACCCAAAACTGACAGTCATTCAGCATGCAAATCGAACGAAAACGTAGCAGAAAAAAGAAGACAGAAAAACGAAGAAAATAAAAGCAAAACCTACCAGAAAATTGAGCTCCAATGGCAGAACCCAGCTCTGAAACGAAGAAGAAAACGAACGAAAACGAACGAAGAAGAAACTCGCGCGTCGTTTAAATGTTCAGAGGCAAAAGCGTCATTTAATTTGTAGGTTTACAGATGGGCCAGGCTTTTTAAGAGAAAAGGGTAGAATTGTCTTTTTATTTGTTATTTTTAAGCTGGCCCAACGAATCTGGGCCAGCCTTTGGCCTAATCTAAAATAGCTATTTTTTTTAAGTATTAAAACCCAAACTAAAATACCTAATATCTCACTTACTAATTAGTAAACTTAATAATGTCTAATACCTAATTTTCCTTTTGAACTATTCCAGATAAAGATGGGAGTAACTCAGTTTGGATTAATCTCTACTACTCCGAATAGATATCAGTTTCAAAACTCAACTGATTCTCAAAGCTTTTCTGACATGGATTATTTGTTTGTGGGCCAACTAATATAAATGTTAAGGCCCGAAAACAAATTGATGGGCTGACAAAATAAATTATCCATTGACTCTCAAAAGCCCAAAATATTTTATGGGTGGTCCAAATAAATTATGTGGTTAATGGATTAATTTTTTAAATCCTTAAAACCATATGTGAGTAAATTAATAGGCTCATTAAAATGCCTTTTAATTTTCTTTGGACATTAACAATAAAAAGATGGTACAAAACCATTCCAAATTTTCACATGTGTCATTTACCCTGCAAATTTAAATGAGATCAAATTTAAATTTCTCAAACACACAAATTCTTTCAAAGGGTCATTCATTCTTTGAAAGACCAACCAAATTTTGGAACTACGCCGGTTTGATCCCATCAAAGGTACGTAGGCAGTCTAGCATCCCAATAGACGCAACCGCAACCAAATCCCCACAAATTAAATATCTACCTTTACACTTATCAGGTCTGAACTACGTTGGTTTGATCCCTTTGAAAGGGTACGTAGGCAATCTAGAGATTCAATCTAGATGCAACCATCCCAAACACAACCCCATATCGAATCCCTGGCTTATTCAGCTAAATTCACTCAAACACCCCTCAATCGAATTCATTCAAATTCCCCTTTTTTGCAATGAGTCATCTATTCATTGCGAATCTTTGAACTACGAGTGACTTGATTCCTGCAAAGGATACGTAGGCACCCTGATGTTGAACTTGGGAGCAACCACAAAACCAAACACATACATTCTGTTTCTTTATGATGGAATCAAAGGGTTTTCCCTAGTAGCGAGGGATTGTAATTAAGAGACTTGCTTCTCGAATGGGTCGAACCTAAAATAATAAAACCCCATTAATTGATTAGTGGTGGTGAAATTATGTTTGGAGGTTTACAGTTTTTATCTAACAGATTAGGTGAAAGCATTGGGCAATAGCTTTTCAATTTTGGTTTGATCTTCCTAGCTGTCCTTATCCTAGATTCTGCATCGTGCTACTAACATACCAGGAGACCCTTTAAAAAGAAAAATGGAGGAAAAAAAAATTAGATTCTTAATTGACTTGGGAACACTTTTTTGGCAGTAATACTTATGTATTTTATTGCTTGCTCTGTAGGATGCAAAAACTTGCAAAAGAGTTGGGTGTGGTAATACCAGTTAGTTTCTTTGAAGAGGCAAATAATGCCCATTACAACTCAATTGCCATTATTGATGCTGATGGGGCAGATCTTGGACTTTATAGGAAATCCCACATCCTAGACGGACCAGGTATTCAAGTTGCATAATGTTCCTCTTATTTGATCTCATCTTTTAATTATGATAAAAGCCACTATTTTTCTGCTGCAGGCTACCAGGAAAAGTTCTACTTCAATCCAGGTGACACTGGATTCTGTAGCAGTATATTTACACACACGGGGTCGCTCAGGTGACACTGGATTCTGAAGCAGTATATTTACATTCTATAATCTGAACGTTGCATAGCTTGGTCTACAATGACAAGGAAATTGAGAGATTTTACAAGTCCAAATTCTGCAACCCCAAGTTTTGTTTTATTTTATTTTTCCTACAATTGCAGATAGGTTTCTCTGTCTTGATTGTAAATGCTCACTGATGAATAAGTGTATATACTCATATATTTTTGTAAGGAAATTCATTGAATTATATGTTTTGGTTCTTTGGATCAGTATTGGCGTTTCTTTGAATGTGGTTCTTTCTGACTGGATGATAACCATCCTACTCTTAGGCAACAATGCAGGGAGGCCCAAGTAACTCTTAATAGAAATGCTGGAAGTAATTAGACAACACTGATATTGGAAGAATAACTATAGAAATTAATAATTATATTTCCAATCCACAAATGGACATGATTTGCAGTACCATGTAGATTAAATTGCTACAATAGTGATATATATGAATGAAAAGGAAAAGAAAAAAGAAACTAATTTTGTGGTTGAGTACAAGATCAACTCCATTACTTCTGGACACCAAAATGGGACTTGAGCACTTCCTTATTTCATGTGTTCGTGAGGTTGTAGATAAACAACAGGAGGGTGTCGTGTGCTTTCTATCATATACTCTCCATTCAAGTGATGTGGACGATCTGCTTGAGCAAAGCCCATGAACAATGCCATATTATTCTACACAAAACATAAACAAATCCAGTAACCAAATAATTTCAAATACATCACTAATTTAAAAATCAAACAATTAAATACAAAAGTAATAGAACAACATCAGATGAATCTTTTCACAACTCACATTTTGAATGGGAAATGTAGGGTATTGATCATCATCCATACCACCATGAATATCTCGTGCATTTCGAGAATCCTGAAGTACAAAAAAACCAAGTATCTCATTTTAAAAATACATATGTATCAAGGCCAAGATATAAAGAATGGGAATCACAACTAAATATTCTTACAGTAAAAAGAATACTCTCTTGTGTTCCAACTATATCACAACTAATTTTGTCAGTGGGTGGAACATCACTTTCTACCATCTGGAACTCCTGAAAAATATACAAATACAACACATGTACAGCATGAATATTTTACTCACATGCTTAATCAAGACATAAATGGCATGTCTGCATAGTATTCCCCTAAACTCAAACTTGGAACAATTGCACTTAACTTCGTTGTCAAATTCATGGAATATAACTGTACCCAATACCCATGAACTACAAGCTAGCTAGACCCCAACTAATTACACTAATCAATTTTTACAACAAATTGCAGATTCAAGAAACAAAAACTAAGAACCTGTACAACAATTTTTACAAAAAAATTACACTAAACATTGCGTATGTACCTCAATCTTCAACCTCTCTGTCAGACAGGCTTTTGGAGAAGAATAGACCAGTGAACCTCTCCATTCTTCAACCCACCCAATTGCCTAGGACTGCAAATTTCATTCTTATTGAGAAAAGCATAGTAGAGAATGAGAAGCAGAATGAGAGAAGCAGAGTAGAGAACGACGTGAGGCCACTTGCTAGGGACGTTAGGGTTTTTTAATTTGATTTTTAATTTTTAATGTTTTTGTTTTTTTAAGGATTATTGAAAAAAGAAAAAGAAAAAATAGAATACATATAGCAACATTCATTAATTAACATGGCAAGACACATCAGCTGCCACATAAGGTGGTCAGCTAAGGTGGTCAATATTGTGTGTCTAAATAGCATTACTCATACAAAAGTAGTTCATAAAAAACACAAAAAAAAAAACTTTTGTATACATTTCACACTGCTATTGACAGGAATGTATGAGTTTCTACTTATATAATGAGCTCCCTAAACCATTTCCTTAGACAAATTTTATGGCATAAGCCATTTCGTTTGATACGGCGGACTGTTATGGACAGGACTAAATCTTGGGACTATTTTGAATTAGCTCGGATTGGCCTATGCTGGATTAAGTACTGGCTTACGTTTGGTGTTGCGTCGAACTAAGAAGCTAGACTGTAAAAATAGTAAAGACATATGTTTGGTGCTCTGTCGGACTAAAAAAATAAATATTTAATATTTAAATTTAATTAAAAAATTTAACCTATAAATGAATAAATAAATAAAATTATAATATTTATTTTTTTGGTCAATTCATCATTTCATTAAACCCACGCTTGTTGTCATTGTCTGTATGCAAAGTGAGAGTGAAACGTTTTCTTCTTCTTTTCTCTATTTTTTATTTTGTATTCTCTCTCCTCTCTCTCTTCTTTCTGATCTCATTTTCTTCTTTTCTTTTCTTCCTCTTTCTTTCCTTCTTTCTTCTCTTTGTTTCTGGTTTCATTATTTTCAACTTTTCTCTATTTGGAATTTCTATGAATTGGAACTGCTTTTCTCTTCTTTTTTTTGGGTTTCATTACTCTTTCTTTTCTCTCTTCTTTATTTTTTATTCTTCCTCTCCTCTCTCTCTCTCTCTTCTTTATGATCTCATGTTCTTCTTTTCTTTTCTTCCTCTTTCTTTCCTTCTTTATTTTCTCTGTTTCTAATTTCATTATTTTCAGCTTTTCTCTATTTGGAACTTCTACTAATTGGAACTGCTTTTCTCTTCTTCTTTTTTTTGTTCTCTGTTTCTAGTTTCTTTATTTTCTGGTTCTTCTATTTTACCAATTCCCTAAACCCTTTTCTGATCTGTGTTTTTCTCTTGTGTACAAACAGAGATGGCGAAGAGAGATAGTTCTGGGTTCTGTGGGTGACTGGGGTGGCGAAGAGAGATGGGTCTGTGTGTGGCTTGCGGGTGGTGGTCATGAGGGATAACAAATTCGGGGGAGAAGGGAGAGCGCTGGGCATTGGGTTTTGCCAGAGTCTGTCGATTGGGTCTGTGGTGGTGGGGGTTTTGATTCAAGGCGTAAGCTCGCATGTTCAAAATAGTGATGGTGCTATTTTGCGAACTGCATTTGGGGCTCACTGAATTAGACATGCGAGTCCGGTTATTTTTTCACTGTTGGACAATGCAATCTCATTTAAGCTAATCCTCTTCCTAACCATACGTGGGTTTTAAGTGTTATTTAACACAATCCAGTCCAGCTAGGCATAATGAGGCCTACCAAACATGTCCTAAGCATATAGCAGTGCATGGTGGCATCCACAAGGTAAGTTTCTATAGTCATTGTGCCACATGAGAAAAAAAGGAAAAGATACAATCCTCAGCATTCAGGACCCAAGTAGTGTCGGTTTATGTTTTTCAGTGATGCATGTAGGATAAACATTATTACACACATTTAAATAAGGGCTAAAATCCAATCAATAACCAGACAATATTGGCAGTACCTAACTCAGAGCATAGAGGTCCCTCTCTTATTTGAGCAAAGACCGAAAGACAGTCTGACATAAAAACTCATATAATTGGCACTGGATCAATAAAATGTGAAGCAATCTTATCCTTCACCACTTTACCAACACGCGTGTAGCCATCGTCACCTTTGTAAAGGAGATCTACCACTTTTGTTAAATTAAGAACTCTCATTAGGACAGCCATTGGCGCTGCAGTTGGTCTTAGAAACTCCTCGTTTATGTCCTTCCACAGATCCACCACTTGCTTGTTCAAAGCATCAAGTGCCTCTTGCTCCGACACCCCATATTGCTTCATGTAGCAATCAATACTACAGGCAACATGGCCTCTCTCTTTCTCAAACTGCATACAGAAATTCAAAATATTAATTCGGTAATATTATAGAAATTCAAAATATTAGTTGTGGAACCACTTATTATATATGGTATTTTATTTTGTCAAGTTTACGATGTGAAACTTGCATTTTAAACATGCATACCTAATCTAGCATGACAAGAATATTTTATACCTTGCTGGTGACAACATCATCCATGAACCTAAAAAGGGTCGAGGAAGCTCTAACAATTTTTGCGTCATTGAACAGCCACTCAAATGTGTCCTTTGTTACAATTTCTTCCATGCCAAGTAAGGATACAGTTGAAAGCATGGGGTAACCAGTAGAAACTATTGCAGCAGGTAGATACTCCTCCATGGTTGGGGTGTATCCTTCATTGAACCATCTGGCCTCCTCAAAGTAAGCTCGGGCTACAGCTTTCAACTGGAGGGGACATAACGTTATAGCCAGATAATGTGGAAGAAAATAATTTAAATATATTATATACATACAGATTCCTTTGCATAATAAACTCGGTATGATCTTCCATCCTTTGCAATCTCTTCCTCAATTTCATCGACAACATTCAAAAGGGTACGATAAAATATTTGCATATAGTCTGGTAGTTCATCTATGCAACTCATATCCCACCTGAAAATTTGATAAACCTTGTAAGTTGGCTTATTTAGGAGCACTTCTGCAATTACAATAAATCAGCTCTAAATTATTTATAAAAAAAAAAAATTATGATTTCAAAGTAGTACCTCTCAATTGCTGCAGTAAAGATCTCAAGTTCTTCAAACGTAGCATATGCGTCGTAGATATCATCCATCACTGATACCAGGGCAATCACTTTTGTAAGAAATTTTCTTGCTTCGACGTATTGGGGTTCAAAGTATACTCCGACTACCCAAAAGTACAACTCCACGATCCTGTCTCTTGCGAAAGGCATCTTCTTTTCAAAGTCTACTTCTTTCCACCACCTAATGAGCAATAACATTAGCTGTATGTGTAAGAGTGTAACTTGAGTATATATGCTCACATTTACAATTAAAAGAGGGACTTACCTAGTAATCTCACTGAGCTCATTTTTGTGCAAAGACTGAACAAGATTGAAATCTAACTTCGCAAGTTTCAACAAAGCTTCATTGTGTGAAGCTTCATCTTGGTAGATTGACATGTAACGCCTGGCACATACCCTCTCTAGATCTTTTTGCAATGGTCTCTCCAAGGCTTGAGTGATTTGTTCTGCATGTTCGTAGCTTCCATGATCTTTTGCAGCAGAGTCAAGGTGAGTGGTGGTGAAAGCAAGAGCTTCATCTAGTATTTCTTCTCCCCGTACTCCTAGATGCCCGGCTTCATAAAGGCTTAGCATCCCCGGAACATCGACAATTAAACATTCCTTGAAGCTGCCATTTTCGCCTTTGAACTTGTTGAACACATCTGCTTGATTGTCATAAAAATGAACAGGCACTAGTTGGCAAAAATCAGTCACATTACACTCCACTACATTATAATTTGTTGATTAACTTACCACATGAAACCTTATATCCATGTTGTCTTAGTAGCCGGAAACCAAGAGCAACGTTGTATAGATCTCCATCATCACTAAAGTCATGGTCATGAAATGCAGCATGCATATGCTCCAACGCTTCTTCAATTTCACTTTCAAAATGGTATGCCACGCCAAGGCGCTGGATTGCATCAATCAACTTGAGCTGATGTGAAAAGTCACCTGCACTAGTTGTAAATACTTCCCTCCTCACTACATCTTTCAGCTCCTCAACTTCTTCTTGGTTCCGGGCACTTGTTATCTGCGGCCAGCAATTAATTAAATAAGAAAAACACTTGCGAATTTTTTTTTTTTGAGAAAAATAAACATGAATATATAATGATAATATAATTTGCATGAGATTACAATGTCTTGGGAATCATAGTTCATGAACCGATCTCCCCAAATGCTTGGTGGGAAATTTGCCGTCCGACGAATAATTTCAGGCTTAGATTGGGCTGTTGCACAGACTTGGATAGACATGTTTTGCTGTTTTTTCTTTGGTAGATAAAAATCAGACGGCACTTATTAGTACTGTTTTCTATACGCTTCGAGCTTTGCTATGAAAATATGAAACACATTGATGGTAGACTCGTGTATATATAGGCAAGGGTTGGGATATAAAATTATTGCAAAGCAAGAATAGAATCGTGCATAGCAGAAGACAGATTCATATAAACCATATAATAATTTTCAAAGCAATAATTTCCACGGCTAGGGGCGCTCCCTTTTTTGAGTGCGGGTATATATATTATCTTTTTCTTTGTAACGTTTTTCTCACGTAACATATTATCCTTTTTGAGTGCTGGATTTAGAGCAGATGTGTAGCGTTTTGTTGCCTCTTT